AAAACTATATCGTTTACTATACATCGACACACAAAGATGATTTTCAGGTATGTGCAACACAGCCAGCTGCAAAAAAACGAAGCCGTGTGTGCAGGAGCGTATTCCATGAACCCTTCTACTCTGCGCATGTCTCGAATCCACCGGAAGTTTGTCCAGAGACTGGCGGAGACCTCGTGTGCACATGACCTCAGACGTGAGGTACTTGAACCCTGCATGTCATAGTACAATCACGGCTGGAACAGGCAACAGATATGTGAGGATGTACCGACATATACGCCCAGCGTTCCAAGATCGCACGGGTCTTTTTTCAAAGTCGGGCGCCTGAAAGCATGACCCCCATCATCCTGAACAGTTCCTGCTGCAAGTACCGTACATAGCATACGCACTTCTTGCAGGCGAATTTCTGGCATCGACCAAATATATATGTATATAATGGTGATGGAGTCGATCTTCAGCTGAAGCGGCGTTTCTTGCGCTCCTCCATGGGCATGTTGTCGATGATCACCCTGCATCGATCAGGACAGGGAAGATTGCTTGGCAACAGGATATGTGCACAATGTTGTTGCAAGTATACTGGCAAGGCGACAAAGCTAAGGTTGGGTTAGCAATCTGTGCCCTCATAAATGTAAATATTTTTTTGTACCCTGACATATCGGTGTAGATTAGATACATCATACATAGGTGCCACAGGCACAATATACACTTCACCTGGAACCATAGGCTGCAAAGTCAACCTGATGATGTGATCCCACGTTCGGCCGAGATTCGCGCGAACGTTCGACTGCTTCCACAGGCGATTGGCTTCCTAAGTCCAAGGTCAAGATAATGCAGCACTGTGGCAATGCACAAAATATATATATATATATATGTATATATATTGTGCATTGCCATTCGAAAGCATGAGCCGGGGCACCGTCTGGTTGATGCCATGCCTCTCCTTCGCGAGCCTGCATGCAAACCATGTGATATTAATTTATGCACACTGCATGCTGCATGGAGCGCCAAATCAACAGACTGCGAGACAAGGCCTCAAGAAGCCTTGGTAAGCAGTCCACATTGGACCGCTGTTCTGGTTACGCTTTTTTTTTGGCTCCTGCTATCAGCAGAAAACACAACCGCAGCAACAACACAGCTTAACATCAGGCCGGCAATCTCTGTGGACGTCCTTGCTTTCGGTGGCCTCCTCTTTGCCCTCCTCATCGTCCTTCTGCTCGGCTTGCTCGTCCAGGTCGTCGGCCTCCTCAGATTGATTTCAACTTCCATGGGTACCTCCATGTATGATGTCACAGTACAAACTGGAATTAAGATTAGCAGCATCTCCAGCATTACCATCATCATCGTCGGAATGCTCTGCGTCTTTGCCTCGCAAAATTAGTTAGTCATGCTAGTCGACTGACGAAGAAGCAGCCACGTCTGCGAAATGTGAGGCTAGCGGCCGTTTGGCTCATCGTCGGCTTCTGGATCGGCATGCCCACCTACACATCACGGGGCCACACCACGAGGAAAGAGTAACCCGCAGAGCCCCTAATTCATAACCCTTGTGAATAAAGCCTGCATTTTGGATTTTGGGTATGCAGGTGTCCGAAGCTACAACCCCAACCCAAATCCGCCGGACCTCCTAAATCCCAATGTCCGAACCTAGAAACCCCTAAGCCCTAAACCTGATCCAAGCCCTCCTAAACCCCGCCCAACGTCCTTACCGGATGCGTAAACCCTACCTAAACCCCAATCCTTTCTAAAGATGGAAAACAGCATGGGAAATGGAGGCTAGCTATGGCACATTATCTATAGATAGATAAAGATATAGATATAAAGAATTTTTAAGTATATATATGTGTATATATATATACATAATATACACATACTGAAACACATGAACACCCTATTGCAGTAAGGGGCTGTCGCATAGGGGCCGAGCAAGTGAACGCGAGCAGGAACAAGAAAAGCTACCGACTCCAGGACCAAGAGGATAAAACATACATGCGATTATAAGGGACGAAAGATATGAACTAGCAACCCCATCCTACACCAACCCTAAACCTTGTGTTTTAAGGCGATCTCCCAGCCAGCTTGCCATGACGCAACATATAGTCCTACATACACCGCACACAAACCTCCGAATCTAGAGAAAAGTCTGGCTCGGCCTGCGTCGCCAGCTGCTTGAGGCTGCGGTGCGCCTGCTGAAGCATCACCATCAGCATCTCCTGCACGGCACGATCCAGACGTAGACTCCAAGAAAAAGGCTAATGATGTATGCATACAACAGATTCCGAAAGTATATTATGTTTCCCTGCAAAACTGCATGCACCAATATTGGCTGGGGCACCTCCAGCACTGCTCTTGCTCTTCTTCTTCTTCTCATCAAGCAAACTCTTGAATTTTGCTTTGTGCTGATTTAGTGGCTCCAATTGAAACACCGGTGCCATAGCAGAAAGCTCGGCCGTAACAGCTTCCAAGCAATCAGGCGCTTTGCATGAAGGCATAGGCAGTCCTGTCGACCAGGGCAGTGTCTCCATCTCGTCTGGATTCTGAACATGCGGAGCTTGCTGCAATCCTGCGAGCATGCAATACATAGTTTTTGGCTAAACTCTGTGATGATGATCTCCTGCTCCCGGCTCCCCATCGGGGGGAGGAACATCGTCAGCCTTCTTCCTCGGCGCCTTTCGCTCCAGCAGCTTGTCCAGGGGAATCGCCTCGCTGAGACAAGAGCTTGCTGTATGTGAGCCCTTGTAATGCTTGAATGCCGGCCTTGAGCCGTCGCATGCTCTCAGTCCGCGCTTTCCTGGTCTTCTTGGCTTCTCGGATCACATGGCCCGCCTCGTGTGCGCTAGGACATAACATCCCGGTTAAGCTGTAAAGATGATCGGCTATAGAACGATGAATCTGCGTCCGAGATGCCAAACCCTTCAAAATCGAGGCCTGCTGATGCGCCAGCTCTTCGTTCGCAGTCTCCTGAGATGTGGCAGCAGGAAAGGCCAGGAATAGGCACACACGAAAAATACTAATGGTCGCCTAGCGTCCCCATATTTCTTGCTGATGCAAAATGCCAGCTCATCTACGGTAAACTGTCGCTCCGCTGCATTGATGACAGTCAGTGTCCTTATTGGTACTGCGGGTGCGGCCATACACGAAACCCAACCTCACTCAAGGCACCGATGCGACAAGACTTTGAGAAGCTGGGTTACGCCTCAATGACATCCACGTTGTCATTGATCAATTTGTTCCGCTTCTCGGCTTCCAAAGACTCGACCCCGTCGTGATTGATGTCTCCGACATCGGTAATCACCAGGAAGTTCTCCTATATGTATGAAGCGACACACACACACAATACAGAGAATCGTGGAGAAATGCTGTCTCTGCGATCGAGCATGGCCAGACTAGTACAGTCCTGTGCGGCGGTCACCACTTTCCAGGCAGACAAGCAAGTCTTGTCGAGCCCAGTAAGCGGCAGCTGGCGGGCCGCTTTCGAATCCGCCATGGCACAGCAGAAGTGAAGAGGAAAAACACAGCAAAGCAGCAGGGCACAGCACTTCCAAGAACCCTGCACGCACCGGACCTTGTAAGACGCAAGACTGCAAACTGCACCCTCATGCCCTCGCACACCGGAGCTGCCAACATCGATCATATACTGTACATTATCTCATATATGGAATATCAAATAACCCACAGGATAACAAAGCTTCCCCTATTTCCCAGATTCAGCTTCCCTGTGCGGCACATGCCCCCTGCCAAAGCCGAAATCTGAACGCACAACATACACAAACCCTGGCGAAGCATCCAGCATTGCGCCCTCACCACCGGGAGCTTCGTTATCACAAAGCGGATGAGCTCTGAACTCTCTGATCAACGCAGCTTCGATATATGTAGCTGCCTCCATGGTTTTCACGATCGCAATGACAAGCATACGTACATATTTACCTTCTTTTCCGTACCCATAGGAAGGATTGAACCCCCTGTGCCCCGGATCGGTGCTGATGCCCACCTTAAACCTTGCACCCTGTGTTGAAACGCCAGCCACGATCGCAATGCAGTGCTAGAGCACAACAGAAGCAAGTTTACTCTTGGGCAATCGAAGATCAAAGTGATTGCCACTGCTTTGGTTCAAGTTCTGCATGACATCATGAAGCCGAGGAATGTTCAACAATGTCTTATCATGCTGTTCGACTTTCCACCGCCAAGCATTATGAGTTGCGACAAAGCCTTGCACCAAACAACCGGCTGTGCTTGATGATGAGTTTTCCAAGACATCTGCCTTTCTTTTGAAGCCTACTGATAATGATGACACTTCAGCTATTGGTGGCTCCGGCTGTTCGCTTTGCGGCGGATTTACAATTGCATCGTCAAGCAAAAAACTCGCCAACCTTTCGTACCTGTCAGAGCCGCCCGACATTACATCTGATTCCCACAGAATAATAGGACAGCACCCACACGCACAAAAACTGATCACACATCTACGGGAGATTACAACAATTAAGCCGGAATGGCCATGGTTGCGCGACTCATTGACGGTAAAGCGCATGCGCCCGCATGTATGCACGAATGAAGGCCGTCATGCTTGTACACATGTGCATATAAGCACGAATGTCTCGCATGCACATGCATATAATTGCACACAACGTGTGTATATGTATGTGCATATATATGTATTGTATGCAGTTTTTGCAGGAAATCCGCCAGAACTCACGAACCAGGATGCGTTTTGCAGGTCTTCCGTGCAGAAAATCTGTTTCTGGGTTATGATTTGTGCCACACACGAGTTGTTTTGGCTCTATACACAAAGCCAGCGTGCCTAAGCACATTTTTCATGTTGTCAGTACAAAAGCCAGCGTGCCTAAGTACATTTTTTTGAAAGCACAGGCCAGCGTCACGCTGTTTTTTGTGCTTTGGGAAATTTGTACCTAAGTACAGTTTTTCGAAGAGGACAGGCCTGCAGGCACCTGGGGCATTGCCGACCAGCTTGTGAACAGCAAGTTGAGCCAAAAGATATCGTAGTTCAAAGCTCACCCCACGTCCAGAAAGGCGACGGACAAGAAGATCTGCAACCTTGGCACGGTTCACCCTGTCAAAGGCACCCGCAACGTCAAGTTTGCATAGTAGAAGCGGGTGTCGCCACTCTTTTGTGACGTCCCGTAGACGCGTGACTGTGCCAAGAAGATCAGCAGCTTGGCGTCCCTTGCCGCAGCAAGACACTTTTGATCCACGACGCATGATCGGAAGTGCCCTGGCGCAGACCAAGCGATTGACCAGCTTGTGGAACGCAGATGAGACACAAATAGGTCGCAAATCAGCGGGGCTTTCGGGCAACTTGATCTTAGCAAGGAGCGCGAGGAAGCTAGTCTCCCAGCTGCCAGGCAGTTGTCTCGTCTCAACTATGTGGTTGATGAGGGAAAGTAGCTGCGGTCCATGCAAGTCATCGCTAGCAAGCACCCGCAGAAGATGTACACCCACACCATCCGGCCCAACCGCGCTGCGACATTTCATCGCTTGCAATTCCGTACGGACATCCAGGAGCACAAACGGGCGAAACTCACCCCCATCATTGCAGTCACGAATCAGTTCACCAAGCTGAGCCTCCCAGACTGCAGCCGGGCGTTCGGGGTTCGTCATTTTGCTTTCGAGATGACTTTTGATCTCACCTGCAAGGTCGACGGAGCGCCGATTGGCCAACAAAGAACCCCACCAGCCGCGTTTACGTTTTTTCTCATTCTGAAGAAGACGGTACTGATCCCAGTCACCCTTGACGATGGCAGCGAGACGATCTTCTGACCATTTCCTCCGGGCTTGGCGGCGCATGCGATGGACGGACTTCCAGTCAGCAGGGAGGCCACTAGCGCGTGCTTGGGCAATAGCGTCTTTAATGCCATCAGGATCTCTATATTTTGAGGTCTGCCGAGGTCGCGTGCAGGTGCGAGCCAGCTCAATCAAGTCATCCTCATCCACAATCTCTGTTGCAGGAATATCCCTAACGACCCACCTAGCACGGGAATCATTTCCCCAGCGAACGCTGGAGGGACCAGAGGCAACCATGATGTCACCCATGACGATGGCGTGGTCACTACCGATAACATGTCTGCGATCAGGATCGATGAGGAGCGGGGTCATATAGAGGTGCCTGGAGAGGAGGACATCGATCTGTCTGCCTGTACGAGATTCATCCCTGGGATAGTGTGTAGGGGTGTGGAGATGCGCAGTTGTGGGTGCAATGGCTTCAACCCCGTGCTGCAAGAGGTCGTGGATCAGCGCGTTGAGGTTAGACGAGCATGTGCCAATGCGACGTTTGCCAGTAGCGTCATTCTCGTCCCACAAAGTCTGCTCGTTTGCGTCTGCACCACAGAGTAACGGCAGGTGACGATACTTGCGCGGACACAGCCGACAGAATTCATGAACAGCAGCCTGGTAAACGGCATTGGTGACCCCAGTGTGGCAGTGAAGTGATCCCAAGACAATGCGACCAATACCAACGAGACGAGCCACCACCCAAAATCCACGTGCCCCAGCAACCTTATGCAGGATGGAGTCGAACTTATCCAAGGCAATGCCAATGCCAGCCCCACGCCATTGATCATCATGGCGGTGCGTCACCCAATAAAAGTCATCACTCTCTTCCGTGTTCCAACCAACATCACCTCGAGCAACTTCTTGACAAAACACGATATCACAGTCCTTGCATGCAAGATCGAGCAACGATGTTCGTTGTCCACCCAAATTCCAGGTACAAACTCTCCCCCATCTGCGTGTTGCACACGGACGCGAGAGTGGCACCCCCTGTTCCTGAGGAAGAGGAAGAGAGCCAGAAGCGAGGGTCTCGCCATCTTGAGTGAAACAATGAGCTGTTGATCACAGCTCGCGCTCGAACGCGCTCTTCGAATCGTCAGTGGCACATCCTGCAACTCGAGCCACAGCCGAAACGTTCACCCAGCCGCCGCTCATCAACACGATCTCGTCACTTCCCTTAGGTTGACGATGAGTAGCGCTGCCAAGTTTTTCGGAGCCATTCCACAAAGTCCCCATGTTCCAGTCACAGTCGTAGGATGTGATCAATGAATTCGCCCCATCCCCTTGACCATGATCTTTAGCAAGAGCGATGGCAACACGGCGAACCATGCTGACATGCGAGCTGCGCACTCTGGCGTTTTTGGTCTTCACGAAGCTCGCCCAAAGAGTTTTCTCTTCCCCGGCGGAACGTGTGCTTGGCAAGGCATGTTTGAGGCGTCCCAGTAATTTCACAATTTCCCACATGCGATTCTTGGTGTCCTTGAATTCCTCCTCGGGTCGTGTAACAAATCGTAGGAGGCCGACAGAGCGACGAGGACCATAGATAATGAGCTTCTCAGAGTCCAAGAGGTCTTTCAGCTCTGCCATGCCCAGGACTGTTGCCGACTCTTCCTCTATGATGCTGCGCTTGGTGTCCTGAAGCCAGCCTCCCACGACCAGTGTCCTCATATCCTCCGCCGAGAGCAAGTCCCCCTTGTCAGTCTCCCCAACATGTGAAGGATCCTTGCGTTCTTGTGGTCCCGAATTAGGGGCACGTTGTTGAAGATAAGCAGCCCAGGGATCAGGTCTCCCAGCAACATCAGACGGGCCTCCGCCAGCGGAGGAAGAAGACATTTTCGCATCCATTTCCCCAAGCTTGACCTTCATGTTTTTCACCTCGTTGGTCAAATTCTCAAGGGCGGTGCCGTGATTCGAAAGGTGTTGTTTCTGCTGAACGACGTCCTTCTCAGCAACCCTCATGCGAGTCTGCAAGTTGGTTACCTCAAACGCAGCTCGCGATTGCTCACCCTCAACCTTGTCGAGACGGCCTTGGAAAGTTCCCCATGCCAGCTTCATCTCAGCGAGGTGTCCAGTCAGAAGCTCTCTCATTTCACGCGATGAAAGAGGTTGATCGTCGCTGCGGAGGGCTCGCTTAGAAGGGCTGTCCTCGTCATCGGTGTCATCAGGTACGGGTGGTAGCAGACCATCATCTCGACCGCGTGCTGCACGTCGCCGTTTTTTCTCAATCTTCACTTTTCTCGGATTCACCCCAGAAGCACCACTCCCAGTGACATCGACGTCGGGCTCGCTGTCCTCCGCCAGTTCCGTGGGAGAACCAATGATCTCCCCTTCGTTCTCGACTTGCATCTCAGGATGTTCACCCAGTTGAGTGGCCTCGTCATCAGCCATCGTAGTAGAAGAAGATCACCCAATAGAGGTGGAAAGGTGCGAGAAGACGGTGAAGAAGAAGAAGTCACCCTCCAACCAACAGGCAGAGGTAGAAGAGCAAGGAGCCGAAGAGGGGAACAAGGCAAAAGAGGACGTCGACCAACAGCAGAACGTTGAGGTCAAGCACTTCCTTTCAGGAAAGAGGACGTCGCCCACAACGTTCGTTCCAAGCAGGATGCCCAATCGCGAAGAGGAAGCCGTGGAAGTCAACCAGGTCGCCCAGCAGGAAGACACCCCAGCGATGAACTTCAGCAGAATCACGTAATGGGGCACAACGGGAATCGACTGAAGCAGGGACACCCGGAGCTCGTGGAGCACCAACGCCGCGCGAAGCAAAGGCACGGAGGGACAGAAGGGGCACTCGGAAAAGTTCGTTCGAGCACAACAGCTTGAGCCGTAGCGGTCTAGGGCTTGAGCCAAAATGCTACGGATAGGGTTTGGGGGTTAGGGTTGACGGTCGTTGCTTAGGGTCTCGGGCTTTTTCGACGGTCTTAGAAGGGAAGGGTTTTGGTGGGCAAGGTTGCTGTCATGGGGTTCTGTAGGGTTTTGTGAAGCTTTTTGAGGGGTGTCAAGAGGGTTCTGTCGATAGTCTATAACCAGGATTAACTAGCTATCTCAGGATTTTGACAGAGCAAAAGGCTAGGGGATTCAGCCTTGAGCGTTTGGACACTTGGGTGTAAAGTTTACGGTTTGGGGTAGCCGGGTAGCCCCTTGTTCATCAGAAGTAGGCGAAGTTCTACGCCATCTCCTTCTTCGGGCACAAACGCGCCGAAAAGACTTTAGGGGCCGCGATGCACGTAATCGTCCTTTTGATTGTAGGCCACGACCTGCGACTGTCGGCGGCCCTTGCCAACGGGGTCCCCGACATCATCGTCTTCTACCTCCGCCACCTCCTGCAACGGAACCTCGCCTGCAGCTTCTGGGTTCGTCTCCGGCTCCAATGCAACAACGCGCAAGTGAGGCTAAACCCGAAATCCTAAACCCCAAACCCTGACTTGTAGGGATACGACCCCTGAACTTACCCTTGGTTAGTAGGGAATGGAGGAAAGGGGTATAATTATAACTAAAACTTCTATTACTACCATTCTTCCATTCCCTACTAACCAAAGGTAAGTGAAACAGAGATCGAGGTGATCTTTGTAGGGCTCCTAGCTGTCAGACGTTAAGTTGAAGGGTTTCCTAAACTGCAATGAGCCGAGAAGCCGGGGTCCGAAATTACGGCTCAGGGTTTAGAGTTTAGGGCTTAGGGTTCAGGGTTTAGGATTTAAGGCTTCCGGCTTATAGTGCCTACATAGGCTTCGGGGTTTAGGGTTTAGGATGTAAGGCCTCGCGTTTACAGTTTAGGGCTTCGGGTTTACAGTTTAGGGCTTCGGGTTTCGGGCGTAGGGTTTCGCCTAAAGCCAATCACCTAAACTTAAACACTGGACTTTGAAGTAACCAGGGAGAAAAAAGTATAGACTTTCATGTCATAATGGTTCCTTCAAGGAACAGGTATCAAAAAAAATCAAGTATGGTACTCCGAACCCAGGAACAGGGTTCGGGACATGAGCCGCAAGCTGTCCTGGTTTGCCAGCACCGCCGGCCACAGCAGCAACCTGATCAGCGCGGGGATGCGGCTTCACAATCGCCGTGTATCTTTTGGGTACTTCCCACATACAATAACAGTCTATGCTTGGTCTTGTATATCTACCTTGACAGTATCGTTCAACCGTTCATGAGTGGGGGCAGTATCCGATGCATCTTGTTACACTCCCAGATCAAAGTCCTCATATAAAATGGCCTCCCGAATCATGAGAGCAGGGCTTTCGAATGGTGAAAACTGTACCAGTAGTTATTAGGGTTTAGGGTTTAGGGTTTAGGGTACCAGGAAGCCTGCTGAAGACTCCTGCGAATTACTCAGGCCCCTACAGTAGCCCTGACATCCTAAGACTCTACACATCCCGGCATGCCTCGGAGATTGCCCGTGCAGAGATTTGCTAGGGCTTGGGGCTCACAGCTTAGAGCTTAGAGTTACTGTTCTTGGGTTCCGTCCCCAACTGCTGCCGGGGAGCACTCGCCACATGGGTGTCTGGATGCTCCGTAGACTACTCTTTGCAGCTTTGAGCCAAGATAGCATGATATAGAGGCCTTAATAATTAGAATAGGGTTTTGATTTTTTTTCCCAGTATACTATAGTTCTAACAAGGAGCCCCTAAAATAGTATATGTACTTATTTAGGCCCCCATAGTAGCATCAAAGCTTCTGTTCGGGCCGGGGTCGAAGGCCTCCGGGGAAAAGGGCTCAGAGCTTGGTCCTTTTGGGCTTCCCTTGCCTGCGGCTTGGCTTCAAGGGTTTAGGGTTTAGGGGGTTTAGGGGGTTTAGGGTTTAGGGAAAGGTTACAGTAAAGTTCGGCTCTTAGGGTTGGGGAAGTGAAGTGGATAGGATGCTTACAGCTGAGCCTTCGGGTTCAAGATGGCTCAAGGTTTGCTTCCTGCGCGAACATACTTGGTGCCCATCATGTTCGGAAGCTCTTCCGGTCTCTCTGAAACCGTGTGGGACTTGTGCGTGTCTGTTTGTGTGCCCCTGTCTATCTTTGGGTCTGCAAAAGTGACTGTGCCTCCCACTGCAGCAAAGCGGCCTGCATCTGCGACCAGGACCGCCGAGGCGGCCTGTGGCCAAGCCACCATAGGTTGGCCCTTCGAAGCCTCTGAAAAATATTCGTAAATAGGGTCCTATTAAGCCCAATAAGGGAGAATATGAAATATCCCAAAGGCCTACCTAGACTAAGCACTAACTTACACGCCCAGGGGACTTAGTAGGTTATAAGTAGGGTTATAGGTACCCTAAATGGAGTTACCCCAATTATAACCCAATTAATAACTTACTTACTAAGTCCCCTGCGCCTCCAAGTAAGGGTCTCACAAGTGTCGGCGATGTTGGGGGTCTGCTGCTGCGAGCATCCCTCAAGGGGGTTTAGGGTTTAGGGTTTAGGGTTTGGCAGTTTTTGGCGAAAGAGCCTGAAACCAACTGTGCTGCTTGTCTGAACCCACCAGCACTCCATCGCCAGGACGTGATCCAGAGCCCCACGTCTTCCAAAACAAGCTGGCCAAAGCAGGCACCACACGAACTCTAAGACTAAACCCGTTGGGATGGCAGGCTGCGTTGCTCCATCAGGCCGAGCGCATAGGAGAAAAGGTCCTCAAAATCTGGCAGCTGGGCATGAAATCCTTGTGACGCTAGGAGCGCGAGCTCAAGCCCGCGGCCGTAGACAGCCTCCGGAAGGTGTATGTGGCTCGCCATACCATCTTGTTTCAGCTTGCGCACACCTCGTGTGGTCCAAGCAGCTATGCGCTGGAGCGCACCCTCCACCCTTGTGTCGAAATTGAAGGCACCGGTTACAAGTCAAGTGTCCTGCACGAAGGGATCCACAAGCGCATTCTCAACTTTGGCAAGAGATACTTTGCCCAATCGTGAGAAGGGGGCATATGCTGTCGCCTGCGTCCGCAACACTGTGGAAGTCACGACGTAATCTGATTCTGCACGGCGTCGTTGGAAAGTTGTGACAGGCTTGAATAAGCTGGGGCAGCTAGTGTCCAACGCCCGTCGGTGGAGTGAGTGGCTGCAGGTGGGCCGGCAAGCAAATCACAATCTTGGATTCCACCAAGACCAAAGCTGGGATCAAATTGAAATTTCACGGAGAACTCCAGCAGCATAAGAAGCACAGACGTCGTCCTCGGCCAGGTCTCCGGCTTTCAGCTGATTTTTCAGACAGCTCTTGTGTCTGGAAACAATCAGCTGAAGAAGCTGTACCATCCGCTGCTGCCCAAAACCGAAGTTGAAAGGACTACCTGCGTGTCACGGACGAATGGTTACATTCAAGGGTCTGGACCTAGTTATCCCCGCGGATCCCGGCAATCCGAATCAAGCTCTATATGGCCACTGTGTGCATTTCATTGTAGTGGGGACGAGGCTGCCAAAGCGCACTGAGGCCACAGAGCGATCGGCGATAGGGAAGGCCACGAGTGCGGATGAAGTAGGGAAGACCTCCGGGATGTTCGGGTATTCGATTGGGGGGTGCTGGTGGTTGGTGGCAAACCTTCACCAGAGACCTGTCTGAAAAACACAAACAAGAATTGTGAGTTGGGGCTACGAATATTATCTGCTCGCGGGTCAGCTTTTCTGAACTTCGGTTTGGCAGCGATAAAGTCCTGCGACCGCAACTGGTGTTGACGAGAACAAGGGACGGCGGAGGGATGACTTCGTAAGGTCCAGGTGCACCGTTTCGGATTGGAGCAAGCTTGAGAAACTTTCCACGGAAGCCTCAGGCCTCAGATTCTTAATCGTGATCCGGTATGATGAAACAATACGAGATAATGTGGGATTTAGATGAGAATGCCAGGGTACATGCATCAAAATCGAGATCGAAGTGCTCAGCCATTGGGTCGCTATGCTCTACGAGGAAGGGCAGATACATTGTGAGTGCCTTCCGAAAGGTCGGTGATTTCAGGTCGTGTAAGATGATTTTGCGAAGTCGCAACATCTTTTTGCCTGCACGATGCAATCGTTTCGATTGCAGCCGGGTGAATTGAAGCAACGTCCGCTGCCCGAGAAGAAGTATTGCAAATGTGATCTGGGTAAATAATCCTCGACACCCTGGAAACCAAAACAAAAAACTCTCTGGGCCGCCCTACACACTCACCGAAACGCCCGCCATCGCAAGAAACCCTAAACCCTCAACCCTAAACGGCCCTAAATCCTAAACTCTAAACCCTCAAACCTAAACCCTCAAACCTAAACCCAGAACCCTCAACCCTAAACTCTAAACTCTAAACCCTCAACCCTAAACACCCTATATCAACCATAAAACCTTAAACCTCAAATGTTCATACCCCTAAGCCGGAAGCAGCCCGTCCTGCGAGAAGCCCGAAGCTGACTGCTTGTGGGAGCAGCCACCGGGAAGGAACGGCAAAGGCCTTCCTGAGTTGTCGGGTTTAGGGTTTAGGGTTGAGTGTTTAGGGTGTAGGGTTTAGGGTTTAGGGTTTAGAGTTGAGGGTGTAGGGTTTAGGGTTTAGGGTTTAGAGTTTAGTGTGTAGGGTTTAGGGCTTAGGGTTTAAAACTATTTACTATTATGGTTATCTACAATATAGTAGGGGAAGTTTAAAAAGATCCCAAAGGACAACCCAGCTTCTGAAGGTCTTCTGACGTGTTCCTGCAACTTTGCGGCATTTTTTGGGCGGGTTTAGGGTCTAGGGGTTTAGGGCTTCAGGGTTCTACTATGGTTTGCGTGTCTAGGGGTTCAGGGGGTTTGGGTTTTGGGCTAAACCCTGAGCCCAAAACCCTAAACATGAGCCCTAAACCTAAACCCTCAACCCAAACCCCTGGACCTAAACCCTAAAGGGTTTTAGGGTTCAGGGCTTCAGGGCTTTATCGTTTAGGGCCTTAGGGTTTAAGGCTTAGGGTGCTAGGGCCCTAGGGTCCTTGTCCAGTTCCTTCGAATGCCAGGAAGGTGGGCAAGGCCCACGATCCCTACGGCCACCTCACCAGGTAAGCGCTTCAGGGCCTCTGCGAGAACGACGTCCCTCTCCTTCCAGCGTCGGTTCCGGGGTCGGGGGCTGGGCTTTACGGGTTTAGGGGTTTAACGTTTGCCTGTAGCCGAAAAGACTTACCTCTTGAAGAAACTGTATAAATAAACCATAATAAGTCACCGAAAAAAGTTAGGCACAGGCAGGGTTTGGGGCTTCGAGTTTAGAGTTTTTGGCTTAGGGTAAGGATCTTGAACCCCCAACCCCCGAACCCCAAAACCCTAAACTCCCAAACCCTAACCCTGAACCCTAAACCGTAAACCCCCAAACTCTAAACCCGGAAACCTTACCCCCAAACTCTAAACCCTAAACCAAAAACTCAAAACCCGAAAAAGGAGGCTGGAGATCCTCGATGTACACCTTGCGGGGACGCCCAGGCCACCAAAATCCGGCGGCAGCCGAGTGGACGGCCTTTGTCCAGGCTTTGGGTCTTCAAAAGCTGACAGTTGAGGGTTTGAGGCGTTTAGGGTTTAGCGGTTTAGGATTCAGGATTTAGGGTTTAGGGAGAGTTCATGTGAGGGTTTCTGGACGAGTTGCTTCAAGGGTGCACATAGGCTTTGCGCGATTTAAGGTTTGGGCTTTCGGACACATGGTTTCAGTGATGTTGGTCAAATTGTATCGTCACTCGAAGTTATCAGAAGATCTACAGAAGATGCTTCATTCTCGTTATTAAGGTAGCTTGAAATCCGTTTCGGGTTTGGTGGTTCTATACTATATAAAGGTATGAAGGAACCCCAAGGAGCAATGCTACGAAGTGCTTGGAGCCTTTGTGGCCTCTCGGGCCTAGGATGTCTCTTCGTGGGGCTTGCTGGCGCAGCTGAATTTCTAGGACACCGCTTGGGTGTTGGTAGCCCCAGACCATGCTAACCCTAGATCTGGTAGATTCTCTTCTGTTCAGAGTTTAAAACTTAGGGCTTAGGGTTTACGCTAACCCCAAATAACATCCCTTTTTCGGGACTTATTTGGCCCTAAAAAGGTAGGTTCCTTAGGGTCCAGGTATGGTTTAGGAAGGCCTGCAGCATCATCTCCAGATCCTCACGAGAGACGCTCCTGCAGTTCTGTGCTTCAGGGTTGGTTGGGATTGAGCGGTTCGGGCGTTTCTGTCGCCCAGCCTCACATAAAGGTCTGACCGATGAGTAGTAATCATTGCCCCACAAAGAATAGTAATTAGTGCAGTGTAGTGGAGTGGAATGTAGTGCAGTGGAGGTTATAGCATACAGTATAGACTATAAAGCATCTACTATAAGCCATAGAAACAGTGTAAGATATGAAGTGTATGTGCATATATATATATATATATATATACATATATATATATATATATATGCTTGTTATGCGGTATGCACTATATAGTTTAGAATGTAGGGCGTGGAATGTATAGTGTACAATGTATAGCATACAGTATATAGTGTTGTATATAATCTAGAATGTAAAGGATGGTAGTGTAGAATATAGGCTATATATAGAGTCAAAACTATAGAATGTCTAGTACCTAGTATCTAGTATCTGGTTGTACATGGTGTATAGTATAAACTATGCAGTACATACTCTTTAGTATACAGTATGCAGTACCTACTATATAGTAACCAGCATACAGTAAACATAACCCAGTATCTAGTACTGAGTATAGTGTGTAGTGTATACTGTGTAACATGAAGTGTATAGTATACAATGTACGGTGTATAGTGCATAATGCAAAATGCATAGCGCAGGGTGTATGTGTGCAGAGCAAACTACAGCACAGGATAGTATAGTACCCTCCCTTACCAAGCCCTCAACCCTTGAGCCCACCCCAAGAAACCTCGGGAGATGTAATTATCGCCTAAAAAGGCTAGGCAGGGTTTCGGGTTTTAGGCGTAGGCTTTAGCGTCTAGCGTTAAGGGTTTAGGATTCAGGTTTCAAGGCTTAGGGTTTCGGGTCCGGGGCTTTGGGTTTAGGGTTTTGGATCTGCACTCCTCCATGTAGAGAACCAAGAGATCAGCTCCACCACGCTGTAGCGGTGCACATCCTGCTCACTGGCTTCTTGTTAAGGGGTGTATTTTAATGTGTATCTATAGCCCAGTGTACCTATATATAGGGAGTACTTTAAGGCCAATGTATATACTGTTTGGGCACATGGACCCTTAGGGTCGGGGGTACATCCCGAAAGGGAGCTACAATTCAGACTGCGTTTGAGACCTCAGGGGTCAAAAGTTCAAAGCTGGGATGAAGGTAGGTAGGATCAAGGATCCCTCACATGAAGACTCTTATTTGGGATGATCCCACTTCCTTTCATCCCAGTCTTCGAGCAGGTCGAATAATTTGGGTTAAAGCTGGGAGTTCGGAATGTGCCATCTCAGGCCATGAGTTCAGACCTGGCAAGCTTTGTGAAGGTGGAGAAAGCCCAATACTCCTGAATTAAGGAACGTATTTCAAATTCTTCTCGGCATGAGTATGAGCAAGCTTTGCCTGATGAAGCTGCCAGCCCAAGCTGTCTGCGCGCAGTAGGAGATCTTCCGAAGCCTCCGAACTGGTGAAGTTGTGCTACAGGATTCAAGGTTCAGGGTTCAGGATTTCGGGCTTTGGGTTCAGGGTTTAGGGCTCTTAGTGTTTAGGGTTTAGGGTTTTTAGTGTTCAGGGTTTAGGGTTTTTAGTGTTCAGGGTTTAGGGTTTAGGAAGCTTTGTCAAAGGTTCAGGGTTTCAGAAAGGAGAGCCGCGGGCAGCGGGGGGCGGATCTCTTGGGCTTCAGTTAAGTCTTCTGAGAAGTGGTCATCTCAGAGAGACGAAAGATTAGGGGACCCGTATCGAGCCTCGACGACCACTCGTTCTAGTGCCACGATTTGAAGGATTTCTCATCTTCTAAAACGAGCTTGTCGCTTATTTCAGTCATGACAAACTACAATAAAAATCAGAAACGAGCATAAGGAGAGAAGCACAACAAAACAAGTAAAACCCCAAGCCGCAAGCCCTAACTCCAGCAGAATACCGGTCGAATCCCTATAGGAACCCGGCTTTTGAAAGCAACCCGATAAAGGAACCATTGAAAGGAAACCATTTCAACCTAAACCCTCAACCCTGAATTCTAAACCTTCAAAAGCCCTTTAAAGGAAGCTGAAACGGCCTTTGGCATGAGCTCCTGGCGGATGCTTCGAAGCTCTCGATCCTGCGTCCCAGCAGGGTTGGGTCTTGGAGTTCAGGGTTTAGGGCTTAGGGATTTAGGGTTTAGGGGTTAGGGATTTAGGGGTTAGGGGTCAGGGATTTAGGGGTTCGGGGTTTAGGGTTTAGGGTTTAGGGGAATGGAGTTTAGGGTTTAGGGGTTTAGGGGTTTAGGGTTTAGGGGTTTAGGGGTTTAGGGGTTCGGAGTTAGGGTTTCAGGGGTTTTGAGTGGAAACGGCGCATGGAGCGCAGAGCGAAAAGGATCCGGAAATTATGGTTTGGATGGGATTTGTAAATAGGGTTTACAGTTTAAGGGTTAAGGGTTTAGGGATGTATTGAGAGTTAGTCCACGTACAGCTAAAGCAGTGTCCGAGGGCTGTCCTGGAACAGCCCTGCTTCTGGATTGAAGGGTATTCTAATCTGCAAGCCCTAAACCCCAAAACCCCAGAACCCTAAACCCGAAACCCTTACACCCTAGACCCTAAACCCCAAATCCCAAACCCCAATTGGGTGGTTGTGATCTGGACTTAGGAGCCTGGTCCAAGCTCTTCTGAAAGGAGGCACGAAGGATCTCGCCTTAGTTGCTGAGTTCATAAGCCCAAAAAGCTGTAAACTTGAAGTTCTACAGTGATAGAGATTACCCCAAAAAGTGTACACTGTATCTCCTACAGTTCTACGGGTGATTATATAATGCATCTCCAAAGCTGTAAACTTCCAGCTCTACAAAGGGATAATACTCCTCAAAAGTCTGAAAGTATACCGGTTCAGCTGCAAAGTCGCCCCAGGCAGGTGCCATCACCACCAGCCCCGCGACGTACGCCACTTGGCTGACCGCTGAGGTGAGCGTTACGGACCTGGCTGTGCGCGTTGGTTCTTGCGGCCGCAACCACAGTACCACTGGCAGTCAGAAAGTAGCAATAGCAACAATAAGAAGGACCGACAACAGAAAGAATAGCAACAGAAAAGACGATAGCAGTACTGATACGAAAAACAGCTCTGGAACAACAAGCGCCATCGTCATCATGATCGTCAACATCCTCAGTCATCATGGCAACCCCAGGTTCACCACGATCGGCAACATCTCCATCAGCGCGATCAATATCCTCAACGTCAAACAGACAGCCAGAAACAAGTTCGCAACAAAAGAGCACCAAACGGGGAGCGCGATGAAGAGCTACGATGGAAGTCATGACTGTACCTGCAGTAGATACAAGATACACCCGGAAACAAGAAGAAAACGAAGAGTAAGAAGAATCATGAGTGGAACTGCTGATGAAGATAATTCTGCATCACCTTGAGTATTCACCTAAACTTATACAGCACATACATTATTACGGGCAATGCCGAGTTTTGTCCATCATCAGTAGCAGCAAAAGCAGCAGCGCACCTCTGTGCCCGCTTCAGGGTCAGGTCCACATCCCGGTCTCCCAGCACCTTGCGTGAAAGTAGCGTTCTTTACTATACTGAACTTAGAACCCTAGCAGAAATTGAAATTTTAGCTGTTTCTTAGGGATTGTAATAACCAAAAATTAAGAAGTATTTCTAAGTACACCTAAGTTTAGATTTCTGAATCATCTTAAAAGTCCTTCGGGCTTTGCTCCATTAAGCAATCTCTTGGAGTTTTACTATACTAGAAATACCGAACACAAGCAATTCCTACCCCTTGGAGTTTTATATTGTACCACAAAAAAATCACAAGAACACTCAAGGCGCCACGCTGGCATTGATACGCTCGGCCTCCGCCAAAAGCACTGTCATCTCGCTCGAGGCCTGTGGGCCCCGGACCAAGAGGTCACCTGGGCATGGCCGACATGGGAGTTTCCGAAAATCGGGGACCCTAAAGGAGGTCCCTGAATCGTAGGATCCTTATTATAAGGACCCCCAAATAAGGTACCCCTCATTTTCCGAAACTCCCACATGCACTGTTGGGCTTAGGTGCAAGGGTTAAGGGTGCAGGTTTTTTGGTAGGGTTTTGGGTTTTGAGTTTTGTATGGTTTAGCGTTCAGGGTTTTGCAGGATTCTGTGAGTTAAACCCTACCTCCTGAACCCTAGACCTTACACCCGAAACCATGAACCTTACACCCTGAAGTCTACACCCTGAACGGTGCACCATAAACTCTAAACCATCGGACCAAAATCCGGGCTTGGCCACCCGACGAAGAAAGCCGACCCCCTTCTCTGGTTGCACTGAATAGATGGGTGGTTGTCAAAATTAAAGTCCCTTTTTGGGTACCCTAAATAATAGGTGCCGTACTAGATTAGGTATCCAAAAAGGGACCCTAACTTTGACAACCACCCAGATAGTTTTGTAAGGCCTTAAGGGGAAGAGGAGCATCCCACAGCGCTACCCAGACAAGCCGTGAAAGACCTGTGATGAAAACCCCGCACGTGCGTGGTTCCCTAAGTAGGGCTCAGGCGGGGCTCCAGGACCTAAATTCGCCCCCAATCCAAGCCCAAGGCCTGAAAGCCCGAAGCCCTAAACCCTAAACCTTGGGCACGGCCCCCATACAGTAACAGTCTATAATAGGGCTACTATCAAAGGCCTTATATATCTATATTAAGAATATTATCCAACTGTTACTGAGTGGGGGCCGTACCCAACCCTAACCCTAAATCGAAGAGACGAGACAACACAGCTCTCGTCGTGCCGAAAGGCGGAAAAACTCCTTTACCAGGTCCTTAGGTCTGCATGGCCGTGAGATTGTAGAGGCCTTGTTAGGTGGTTCTATGAGGGCTCTCCCCTAAACCCTAAACCCTAAACCCTAGCTCTAGGAGCATTCTGTGGTCAGGGTTTTAAGATTTAGGCTTTGATATGGCGGCCTTCATGGGTCGAATACAACTTCCTATACTGAACTTAGAACCCTAGCAAAAATTATGATTTTAGCTGTTTCTTAGGGGTTATAATGACCAAAAATTTAAAAAATATTTCTAAGTACCCCTAAGTTTCATGGTTTTATAACAGGGGTTGTGAGGCAATGTCGGTATTGCGTATTCAAGCACCTGAAGTAATCGCGTTCCTTGTGCATTCCCTGTGCCATTGCCAGATACCTCTTTCGATTGTCGTTGAAGGCATCAAGGACTTCGACAAAGGTACTTGTTTAGACCGGCAAACAATGGTTTACTCATGTTTACTCACTGGTGAAGACTCGAAGACCCTGCAGCAAGATGCACTGCAAGGCCCCTTCCCCCTCCCACCCTCAAACAAAAGCAAGGCAGTCAACTGAATATTTACTAGACCTGGCAAGGAACCAAGTAAGGGACCAGGACGAATCCAAAATCTTGCGCTCAACTCACCAAGACCCTAAACCTAAACCCCTAAACTTCACTAAATCCAAACGCAAACTCAACTAGCCCAATAACCTTCCGAGAATCCACGGGAGTGTAGCGGGCCTCGCTGCGCGCGACCGACGGCGAGGCCTTCGGACTTTGGTGGAAAAGAGCTAAGCTTCAGGCCGGAGGGATTCGGTTTAGGGTTTATAGGGTTGAGGGCTTAGGGGCCAGGGTTTAGGGTTTAGGGGTTTAGGGTTTAGGGTTGAGGGCTTAAGCTTTAAGCTTTTGGGTTTTGGGTTTGGGGCCCTGGGTTGTTTCAGTTTAGGGGCCTCGTGAGTTGTTTCTTCTCCTGGCTTACGGCCTGTTTCCTTCATTGGGCTCTCTGGTAAGGATTGTGGCATACGGCTACGGCTAAACCCTAAACCTCTAGGGCTTGAGGCATTTGGTGCCTTGGGTGTCGGGCCCTGCACTACAGCACCAGGGACCTGGGCGACGATAGCTTACTGGGTTCTGGGTTAAGGGTTTAGGGTTTAGCGGTTTAGGGTTTAAGGTTTAGGGTTTAGCTAGCGGGTTCAGTTGCAATGGTGCGTTTTTGGGGGTTTCACTGCTTACTCAGGCCGGGACTTGTCCTGCATGCTACGGAAAGTGCTTGAAATGCCGCTATTTGCAGGTGTTCGCAGTAGTGGCATTGTGTGCCTAGGCTTTCTGAACACAGCATAGAAAGGACTCCGCAAGACCAAAAGCGCTATGCGCGTTTGGCAGCAACGTGTGCCGCATTTCTGCTTGTTTTCTGAGGTGGGGATGGGGTGGGGGGGGGGGGGGGGGGGGGGGGTGATTTCGCCATGTCGTCTCTTTCACCTGGCTCCGCCTGAAATGAGGCAAAAAGCTTTCGGCTTCTCAAAATGGATATGACAAAACGTTCGATGAAGCTGTAGGCATGAGGGTTTCCGCTTGAAAAGGGGTTATGAGAAAACGTTCGATGAAGCTGTAAGCATGAAGGTTTCCGCTTGAAAAAGGGGATTCCGGGATATGACATGACAAAACATTCGATGAAGCTGTAGGCATGAAGGTTTCCGCTGGCATGGGGTTTGTGTGGCTTCCGGCTGCGCGCGCAAAAGAGTCTGCAAGTCAGCACAGACAGGATGTTCTTACTTCTTTTGGGTTCCAAAAGACGTCACACGGAAGTCGATGCACTGGAAACTCCGTTGCGAGGTTGCCAGGAAACATCCGCTCCCAACTTACGCACAATCCTCTGCACGTTCTGTGGCAAGCCTTGGAATCTAGAAGCATGCCAGCAGCCACGACCCTGCCCGACTCGCTCAAAGAAAAGCTTGCAGCGTAAAGTCACAAAGCCACGGGTTGGCCCTGTCGTGTGCGCAACAGGAACACGAGGCTCGTTGTGAACCGGGCAGCGGCCCCACTTTGTCGCCCTTGTGAGACGACTGCGGACGTCAAAACGCAGCACAGCAGACGCAGATTTTGCAGCAACTCCTTTCTGTCTTTTGTGACGAGAAAATGCAAGTGATACAAAGCCGGAATCACTTGATCGAGCTTTTGCGCAAAAACCTGCACATGCTCGTTTGTCTCCGAGTGCTGCAATGCAGCAGCCACAATCAAAACTAGCATCTGCATGGCTGGGGCCTGCATGGCTACGTCCATCTCTGGGAGATCTGCACTAACACGCTGCTGAGCCGTACAAACTCTCACGGTGCACAGCTGCATGGACAGCAGAAACACGCGGAAAGCAAAGATTGCAGCATGACCGACTCGGGCCTTGCTTTCTTCCTCCTCTTCTTACTCCACCAGCTCCATGGCTTCGCAGTCTATCTCCTCCGAGATAATTCTGGTTTGCCACTTTTTCACTACACGGGACAAACCTGCCACAAAAAAAACAAAGAAATCTAGCCCACCGAGCATATCGAGAATCCTGTTCGACGGCGAGCAAGGACGTGACCAGCTCCGCGTAGAAAATATGATCCGCACTCCCACGCACAAGTACTTTGTCACTTGCATCCAGAATGGCATCCACGTCAGGAAACCAGAGCCGTCTTGTCGTCAGGTCCTCTTGAGCCCACATAGCCAATCGCCCAAAGCGGCGCTCCAACATCAAGAAGCAGCGGTTTATAAAGACCTTGTAGTTCGGCTCCAAGCAAAAAGGATATGTGCTGCCTTGTTTCAGCAGCAGGAAGCATGCTCCTATCACATGCCGCTGCTCAAACAGCAGCTCCCACCGCATGCGACTCGGGCGGGCCTCTGTCAGCATGCCATATATGGCGATTGCTACAGCCAGGTCCCTTGGGTCTGAACACAACAACTCAAAATGAGCTGTCAGGTCTTCCAGGGACTCAAAGCGCCAGCGACCCAAGCACGGTGGAAGACATACGTTCCCGTGACGAAGGATCACTATGCAGCACAAAGCCAAGGCCAGCATCGCACCATCTTTCAACATGATCCCGGGGACAGGTCAATTCCTATTAAAGTTCATCACATGTCTGCGTGAAATTCAACTAATTTGCTTATGAAGTCTGCATGAAATTGCTTCCAGCAAGTCTGAGAAGCCGCAAGAACCCTTCATCTCATGAATGGGGCATGGTTGGCTCGAGTCGCCTGGAGTGTGCCGCGCATGCACTTGAACAGCTCGGGCTAACTTGTGAACCCAGCCTCAAGGCATTCAGTTGCAGGGTTAAGACTTACAGTGGCAACTCAAGTGAAAACCGTGAACTGACTGCAATCTACCTGAACATAATCTTTTCAAAACCTTTGTCTTCCCCTGAAACAAAAACACGAAATCCCGAAAAAAACGAGTCGAAACCACTCTTGGAAGTGAACCCGCAGGGAGGGTTTAGGGTGAATTTAAGAAACCATAATAGGGATCTATAGTGAGTAATAACTGTTTGCGTATTATGGTAACTTAAACTAAGTTCCTTAACAAGAACCCAGCTTAGCGCCTTTTGGCCTTTTCAGGCTCGGCTAGGGTTAAGGTTTGAGGGCTGAGCGCCGAGCCCCTATGCACGGGGTTGTTGAGCTCTTATGGGCACTATACTAATCAAGAACATGCCGGTTTAGTTCCTATGTACGTACGTACACTCTACCAATATGGGAGTTTCGCTATGGGTACTCTTATTTTGGGGTCCTTATAATAAGGATCCCACTACTTAGGGTACCATATTTTATTAGGGTCTGTAATTTCGGAAACTCCCATATGGGGCGCACATCCGCCTGCCTCAGCCATACGCGACCAGAGCGAGAAGAAAGGAAGCTGCCGGAGCTCCTCGAGAAATCTGCTTGGGAAACTTCGGGTTCCGGTGGCTTGCGGTGCTTTCGGGGGGATCTAGGGCTTCGGGTTTGGGGGTTAGGGTCTTTGGGGTTTTGGGCTCAGGAGATTTAAGTAGAACTTGATTAGGTTTTATGAGGCGTTTGGACGGTTTTTCTACCGGGGTTCGGGGGTATGGTTTTAGAGCCTCGGGGCGTAGGAATAGGGTTAGTGTGGCTTGCATCTGGCTTAAGGACCTCGTCTCACTAGGTTTAATGACTCCGGCATGTGGGCGAGAAAAATTAAGCCCTGAACCTTAAACCCTAAACCCTGTAAACCCTAAACCCCTAGACCCCTAAACCTTAACCGACGTACGGACAAGAGTTGAGCTATTGCTACGCCCTACTATTTACCCCACCCCGCCCCCTGTTTCGGAAAGTCATCGAATTCTTGGATACCTGTTTTGGAATTGTGTTTATAGACCCGATAATCCTAAGCATCGAAACCAAACCTATGTGCATACCCGAAAACCGTATATAAACTAAGCCTTTGCCACCACCGTCTTCGGGAACTCCCTATGCAGCAACAAACCTGCACGACCCGATTCTTGCGACCTAGTTCCAGACCCTAAACCCTAATATCCGAAACACTTAGCTGGTATCAAGAGGCAGACCCTGAACCCCATGCAATATCCCAAACCCCCAAAACCAGAAACCCTAACCCCTAAACCCCACCCTTATAGATCCCTTAAGGAACCCATAGGGTTCCTCTAAGGGCCTAAACCCTTTTGACCGGGATCCACGGGCACCTCCGACGAGAGCTCGACGGGCCAGGTCCCGGCCACCCGCAAACGCCGAGGGCAAAGCTCAGCCAACACCTCTGAAAACGACGGAAAGGGTTTTAGGGTTTAGGGTTTAGGGCTTAGGGCTTAGGGTTTATGGTTTAGGGCTTAGGGTTTAGGGGCTGCGGGTGCTTCATCATCCCAGCAAAGACGGATCCCCGCGAGCCTGAAACCGCTCTGCAAAAAGGGTGCAAGTCCCCTGAAACCAATTTCCCCTACACCGTAAAACCCTAATAAGCAGTAAATTCAGCAACCCCTAAACCCCTTTAGGCCCTAAACCTTAAACCCGAAATCCACTGTAGCTGAGCGACAACCGTCGGCTGCAAGGCTCTTATCAACATCCGCACCTTCCCGGGTGAGAGTGGAAGAGAACGTCTAGAGATAGGGTGTTACTTAAAGGATCATTGGGATTTAGTAACTAGGGCTAGAATTAAGGCAACTATACTTACAGTTACTTATAACCTCACTTAGGGTACTTCTAACCCCCACTTACTAAGTCCCATGATCCTCCAAGTATGGCTTGGGGAAGATTTGGGGTTTCGGTCTGAAGGGCTTGGGGCCAACCCTAAACCCTAAACCCTAAACCCTAGGCCCTAAACCCTAAACCCTAAACTATAAACCCTAAACCCTAAACCCTAAATTCCCACCCAGGCCTGCTTAGGCCGTACCCACCCTTTTTCTTAGGGTGCTTGGACCCAAGAAGGAAATCCGGCAGTGATTGACGCCAACTCTGGATGGACAATGGGTGGAGCCATTGGAGAGTGGTCGAATTCAGCCCCTAGGGCTGAGCCAAGCCATTTGGCCCCTTGCGCGGCGCCCATATTCGCAGAGGGAATTCCCTCGAATCTCAAGAGATTGGAATACACTAAACCCGACGACCAATTCCCTTGGTTGGGCGTTTCCATTTGGCCTCCCCTCAGAAAAGGCCCCAGAGGCCGGCCCAGGGGCCCCCTGAGCTGGCCCCTGGCCCCCCCTGGCCCTCCCTGGCCCCCCCTGGCCCCCCCTGGCCCCCTCTGTTTTGTGGCGTGTGTAGGTGCGTCCTTCCTGGCGCCAACAGACAGACCAGGGGCAGGTGGGAATTGAGGGCGTAAGCGCTAAACCCCAAAAGGCAATGTTTTGGGTGGTAGCTTGTGTATTCTCACAGCGGGTGGGAAAAGGTGAGGAACCAATGTGTAATTGTTTGGTGGTGGAATCGCATTCGAACGCTAGACGTCGATATGCCGCCCCCCCACACCCCTGGGAGTGTTGGGGCGCCATCCTACATAGAAAATACTGCCGCTGCGCGGCGAGACGCCCTAAACCCTAAACCCTAAACCCTAAGTGCTAAAGGCTCACATGGAGGTCGTGTTCTGATGTAGTACGCACCAAAACGATGCGAGGATTCCTAGGGCCCCCATTTTACAGCTTAGTTCAGGGATTATCTAGGGTTGTCTTTGCAACATTGGTAAGTTTCAAAAATACATGTAGGGGAATGCTACCAAAGTCGATCCCCTGCATATTATAGGAGCCTTCTCCGAATAACTGCGTCCTATTGGCAAAAGAAGGAACCCTGGGGTGTTCATAGGAATTTTGGATACTCCGGCTTCCATACTATCCCAAATGGGCCTGGTTGCAGGAACCCGCTGTCTTGTGGCACGTGCCCAAGAGGAAGAGGAAACCTGAAGGCAAAAGCACTACAGTTCTAAACCCAAGACCCTAAGCCCTAAACCCTAAACACCAAAACCCTGACCCCAAAGAAAACCTAAGCCCTATAGAAAAAGCAGTGAACATGTCAACCCGAGTATCCAACCCTCGAAACGCTACTTAAATCCTGAAGACACAGCATTAATCAGGACTCTCAAGCAGGAGCAACAAGAACAGGGTTTGGGGTTTAGGGTTCATGGGTTAGGGTTTAGGGTTTTGCGCAGGAACAAGCCCTAAGCAAGACATAAGCAGGAAGGGCTCAGTAAGCTATCGCACTTGGGGGAGGAGACTTTGTGCTGCAAGCATAGCTGGTTTTGAGAATTAGCTACCTTGCGCTGGGGCTTCGGGGGAAGCTTCAGCTGGTGGATTTGGATTTGCAGTGGCGCTGGATTTGGGGTTGGCGGGGTTAGTGCTTTGAGTTTGACGTCTCATTTGCGTTGCTGAAGTGGCTCCATGCCAGCTCGCCCCATCATGCGAAATTCATGTGGCTGCTTCATCGTATACAGATACTCTATAGATAAGAGGCCTGAAGAGCCGGCGATGCTATCCCCTGATATTCCGCACTAGATTGCACCCTTAGCCAAACAAAATATCAGTAGTACCTGCAAGGCCCCTATCTCCTTGCACACTTCTGTCTTTCTTTCTGTCTTTTGTTCTTTCTGTTGTCCGTTGTTCCGTTCGTTCTTTCTTTCTCAAGCTCTCTGTCTCTGCCTCTCTGTCTCTCTGTCTCTCTGTCTCTCTGTCTCTCTGTCTCTCTGTCTCTCTGTCTCTCTGTCTCTCTGTCTCTCTGTCTCTCTGTCTCTCTGTCTCTCTGTCTCTCTGTCTCTCTGTCTCTCTGTCTCTCTGTCTCTCTGTCTCTCTGTCTCTCTGTCTCTCTGTCTCTCTGTCTCTCTGTCTCTCTGTCTCTCTGTCTCTCTGTCTCTCTGTCTCTCTGTCTCTGTCTCTCTGTCTCTCTGTCTCTCTGTCTCTCTGTCTCTCTGTCTCTCTCTCTCTCTCTCTCTCTCTCTCTCTCTCTCTCTCTCTCTCTCTCTCTCTCTCTCTCTCTCTCTCTCTCTCTCTCTCTCTCTCTCTCTCTCTCTCTCTCTCTCTCTCTCTCTCTCTCTCTCTCTCTCTCTCTCTCTCTCTCTCTCTCTCTCTCTCGCGCTTCTTCAGACGACGCTTCGACGCTGCAGCCGTTAAACCCCAAAGCCCTCCAGCATCAACGCCTGAAGCTGCGAAATCATGAAAGCGCCTCAACCCGAACCCCGATACCCCGATCCCTTGAGTCTGCGTAAAGATGCGACCAAAATCGATGTATAGAAACGACGAGGAGCCACCATCCTTAGATTCGTGCAGGGCGTGCGGATGCATGTGAGTGCAACATGCTTTACCTGTCGTCTCTAGCCCTTTGTTGGCTGAACCAGTTTGCTGTCTAGGATCCTATAAGGTTGCCCAAAAACGAAACTGCAATGGAGACTACAGGGATGTTTGGGGTGTTGGCTTTTGCATAAGGTCTTGCGCTTCCGGTGTATATCGTAGCAACCTGATTAAGAAACCCCGTTCTTATAACCCCAACATAGAAGGATTCATATACAGAACCCTATTAACGACACATGTCTCTGAAATCAGGCTCCTATGCCGAACCCCTAAACCCTTGTAGTAGCGTTGTGGGACTCCTTTTTTCTGCCTTAAG